GCGGAACAATACGTCCAAATTCTAAAAAATTCATTAAAATCTATGTTTTATGAAAATAACCATATCTCCATAACACAGAAAGTAAATTTAGTTTTAATGCAATACAGGAAAATGCCGCATATTACAACAAATAAATCTTCATCGAGTTTACTATTAGGTCGCGAAATAAAAACAAAAATAGACAAAATGATACCCAAACCGATTGAGGCTTACAATAATCATAAAGAAAATGAAAAACAAAAATATGAATGCAATAGAACATTTCAAGTAGGTACAAGGGTTGCTATTAGAAATTATATAGGACAAATTTCCAAAAGTTTGGGTCAATTGCATTATTCCGTTAAATTGGATAATGATAAATTTGCAAAAAGACATGTTGATCAGTTTGTAATGATAGGGGAGAAAGTTGGAAAGGATGAACAGTCGAACTCTTTTGTTCCCCCACCTCCTTTAATTAACACTAAAAATATTAAACCAGTTGAACCGCCGATATTAACTTGTGTACAGGCACCACCACCACCTGAACAAACTGAGACTCCATCTCCTGTCCAAGCTCCTAAAGTTGCAGAAAGTTTATATCCAAATGAGGTACCTCATCCAGAAAGCACAAATTCGTCTGTTGTTAGACGTTCCAATAGAGAAAGGAAACCAGTTCTAAAACTTGATTTATAGGTTAGGTATTTATAAATGTAGTTGATATATATATTATCATATTAGGTTAGTTTGAAATTAACATTAGCATGTAAGAAATTTATTTTAGTAAAGAGAGTGTTATAATAGTTCAAAGGTAGGAAAGATTTGGCAACAACGTATGAAAAGGTTGGCAAGCATGCATCACTACGCCGTCCTTGCTTACGTGAACTGTCAACTTTTCCCGCTAAGAATAATGACGAGGGAATAAAATAATAACACCGTGAGTTCCAATTAGTTTCCTTCTGCTACAACCCTTTAAATTACAACAGTTGCTAACAAACCTCTTTTATTCTAAATACTAACTTAACATATATCACTAAATATAACATCTCCCTTCTTAAAACTAGAGCTCCTATTCTTTTCAAAATTAATACAATTCATAATCCCTAAATCTAACAGGATTTCTAGTCGTTCTCCGGGGCCTATCACTATTTACATTGTTTTCAGTTTCCCTAACTAAAGGTAACAATATCATAATTGTGTAAGTATTCGTCATTAAATTTGTTGAAGGACTTTCTTAGATGAGCGCTATTACGTCGTAACATTCCACCACTTTGATCCTTCACATAATATGATTTAGGAGTACCCGCTTTATTTACTATCTGTGCAGGGTCCCATACATTTTTATTAAAATCAAAGTTAGTTACATCGTCTCCGACAACGAAAGGCTGTCTATTTTTACAAGTTTTATCATAATAGCTCTTATCTAACATCCTGTTTTGTATTATTTGATTTTGTATTTCAACATTATTATCAATATCACAATCAACTATAGGCTTAACAACTAAGAAGGCGTCAATTTCAACTCTTGGATTGGGGTATTTCTATAATTAAGTAAAGCTAAACTTATATCAGTAGATTTTCTTAAAATACTTTAAGCTATACCAACCGCTTTTTCTGCCAACCCGTTGGACTTTGGGTAATGCGGACTACTTGTTTTTATTTGAAAGTCCGAACTTTTTGCAAATTTACTACACATACGAATTGTAAGGCATATTATCTGCAATTAATTCCTTATTTGAAAATATTATTTTTAATGCGTATTTTACGCTTTCGGACGTTTTGTCTTTTAGAAGAACCACCTCTAGCCACTTTAAATAGTAGTCCATTAGTATTAAATAACTTTTCCCCTCGTATTCGCCTATTTCACTTGTAAACTCAACTTGAGGGCTATGGCGAATGGCAGCTTAGCAGCGGAGAGATAGGTCGATGGGCAAATGTTGTTTCTCAATACTTACGTGTGTAAATTTATAAAGGCAAATCAAAATTGGGCGCCAGTGTCTTATTATGGCCAGTTGTTAAAATCCAATTAAGTCAGACACTAACTTATTGGTAAGTAAGGGTATAAAAAGTCAAGTTTAAAATTATAAATTATAATTAACTTCTTTCACGGTTGTTAACGTGATGGTGATCGTATATAATGTTTAATGGTTTAATGGAAAATATTCTGGTGCATTCTTAGAAATTTAAAGCAACCAAATACAGTACCTTGATAGAACCGATCTTTAAAATTAAGAACTGAAAATCAACTTTTAAAAAACTTTTAACTAACTTGTATTATTAAATTTTCAGCTTATCTCTTCTATCTTTGGTATAGTATAAAAACTTCGCTAAATAGCTTTATTAAGGCCGCAGGGATGTAGACATAACCTTAAGCTACCATAGCTTTTTTCAATTATTACCAAGTTACTGACCCATTCGCCGGGATTATCAACTCTTTTAATTATTTTACTAGCCTCTAATTCATCAAGTTAACTTTTTCTCTATTATATCTACCTCACTACCAGTATCTATTTTAAATTTAACTGCATGTTCTTTAATTAAAAACTCTTTATAAATTTCTTTTACATTTTTACATAGTGAATTAAACTACTACTTTCCTGTGTATGCTGCTTGTTTGTAATAACTTCTTTGACTTTTTTAAAGTTTGATTTTTGCCTTCTACAAGCCTTTGCAAACTGATTCTGCCCGCCACAATTGTAGCACTCCTGCCCATATGCAGTGCACTCCCTTGCTCCATGCTTTCTTTTACAGTTTCGACAGTTGAAAATAAATTGTTTTGTTCTGTTATTCTGTTTGTACCATTCTGCTGCTTGGTACCATTGTATTGCTTGGTACCATTGTACTGATTTGTACCATTGTACTGCTTTATTCCATTATTCTTGTTTACCATGTGAATTTTCTTCTGCTGCACCTTTTCTATCTGATTTTTGGATACCTCTGCTGCTCTGCATTCTATAAGAGCACCATCCAAGTCAAGATCCTCTCTTGTTAATAATCTTTCTTGTAATTTTAGATTATTTATTCCCAGAACTATACGATCTCTTATGAGGGACTCTTTTTGACTCCCAAACTCACAACTTTCAGCTAATTTCTTTAAATCTGTTACAAATCTGTCTATCAATTCACCTTCCTCTTGTTTTCGTGAGAAGGAAACGAACCTTTCATAAATTATATTTTTTCTTGGATTACGGTATGTCTTGAATTCCTTATCAAAATCTTTCTTCTCCTCTTCGGTTAGGTTAAATGTGTTGTAAATATTTACAGATTCTTGCCCCATGCATTTTAGCAAGATTGCTACTTTTATTTACTTTGTTTTATCGGCTTTTCCACTGGCCAACAAGTAGAATTCGAAATTTTGCAGAAAATTATTAAAATTCTGGCCAACACCTATAAAGCTCATAGGCTCTGGTAATCTTACATCCATTGTTTCTTTGCCTTTCTAACCGATAACCTCAATTTTTTCGCGTTTTATTTTATCTTCTTTTCTTTTCTTTTTTAACTTCTGACACCATGTCTTATTTGTCACTTATCCAAATAATCTATTTGTGCTTTAATACATTTATTAATCTCCAAAACATTACACAGAGAAATCAAGGTTTTTCTATTCTGTCGTTATGTATTATGTTGCTAACAAACCTCTTTTATTCTAAATACCAACTTAACATATACCACTAAATATAAGATCAGATCGACAAATTCAACGATTATTTCCCAATATGTTTCCAAATAGGCCAGAGCAACAATTCAAAATGTTGTTAATAATTTTGTGACATTTGGCAGTGTCAATAAATGTAGGGGAGACCGGGGCAGCGGGGTCCACCGGGGTAATAAGGACCACCGGTCCACCGCACAGTACTTATTAATTTGGCGCAAAATTTCACGTTAGTAGGTTGCTAAAACTTTATGTCAGTGCTGTGTTAATGGCGTCCGACCATAAGCAGCTAATAGTGATCCATATAAAATGTGCTTCAAACCTTACCGATTGGTTTACCAATGCTATTGCATGGAAAAATTTTACGAGGTAATGAGGACCGTGGGGCAAGCAGGACCATTATGTATTTATTGTGAAACTCCGTACAAAGAGAGTAAAGTTGGAGGAGACTGGGTCCAGTGCACAAGTTGTGAACAATGGGCCCACGAAGAATGTGAGGGGGTAGAAAAAGATGACTTTTTCATTTGCGAGCTGTGTGAATAATTTTTAAATTTTTAATTTGTGCAGGGTGCAACAGAATTTGCTTTTTTTGTTTTTATTTAATTCATTTATTTAATAAATTCGTTAAAAACTATCAAGAGGTATTATTATTAATGCGTGCAGGTGTTTCAAATGGTGGACCTTCTTACCCCGATACCCGGGGTATGGAGGACCAATGTAATAAAAGTGTTTTTTTATCTTTACCAAAAAATTTTCGGTTTGTACTAAATTAGATATACCATATTATACATATTGTATAGGTTTTCGAAAAAATTGCTTATGTCTATACTTTCATATATGGCTGAAATATTAAACAAAAAGCTTAAGCAGTCCTCGCTGCCCCGGTCTCCCCTACCCATAATAGGGAACCGAAAGCAAGGCCTGTGAACTTTGTGCAAGCATTGAACAGGAACCGACCCAGTCAACCAAACAAGTTGTCGAACAGTTTGACATTTCACGGTCTATGGTTGGTTCACGGTATGGTGATAATATTGAGTATATTCGTTCGTTGTTTTGTAAAAAAGTTATTTTGGGATTTCTGCTGAAAGATCTTTATGAAATGATTGTAAAGTTTATTTAATTGGATACCATACACAATACATTGGCAGTAAATTACCCTCCAATAAGTACGCGTTACTTTTACTTTTTTACAACATTCGTGAAGTAAAGTCTTTTGGGTTAAGTGCGGACACGTAAAGACTACCATTGTATTGAGAAGCTTAAGAAGCTGTATGCAGAGTGGAGGGCACTACAGAAGTCAGCTAAAAGGCCTCGTTCAAAGGAAAGACTTGATGACTTATTTGATATATTACATGCAGAATCTGCATTGCAGATGCTTCATTATCATCAGGCGGTAGTCCAGTTGAGTCCGGTAGCAGAGAAGATGAAACCGTTAAATTCCAAAAAGAGGTTGTGCAAGAAGAACCTGGACCATCACAAAAAAGAAAATATACGTATGGAGAACGTATTATTACTCCAAAAATAAAAAGCTGCGGGAAAAAAACAACTTGCTGCAGTATACGACGTGCTTTTAAAGTGGAATTCGGAAAGTAAAGTAATAGCGTTCTGTTGTGACACTACAGCATCCAACATGGGTTGTTTCAAAATTAAACAAATTCTAGAACCGGTTAAACTTGAGATTTTATAAATTTATGTTTAACAATTCAACAACCCCGCGATGGTGGTCAGCTAGAGCAGACGCTGTTTCAGCCTTAAGATTAAATTATAAAAACCAAGGAATCATTAATTAAAATTAGTATGGGTAAAACGGAAAAACCAATAAGTAAATTGGAATCAAAAAACATTTGATGATTATGAAATTGCCTTAATAACTGTGTTGTGGGAAAAACTGTTTGAGCGAATAAATTCCACAAGTAAATCACTACAGTCAAATTTACTCAAATGGGCAAATGTTTACAAATTTCTTTCCGATTTTATAAAGGTATAAGAGACAAATTTGAAGACTACAAAAGTAATGATGGATGAATAAGGAAAGTAAAATTGCAAAAAGATCCAATAATAACACATTTTATATACTTTTATCTAAATTTACAAGAAGATTTACTGTTAATAATATTTTAATTGATTTGAAAATGAGCAAGGATAAAATTAAGATGCGTGGGTTAATAATCAAAATTTAGCCTTGATATTGATAGTAAATATTTTAAAGATGAAGTTATCCATTTTATAAAATATGATGATAAAGAAAACGTATATCGATATGTATAAATTGTTAACAGATGGGCTGACATTTCCTAATTTTTTTGACTATGCCTATCTGCAATGCAAGCGGTAAACGTTCATTCTCCGTACTTAAACAGGTTAAAAATTATTTACGTAATTCATTAAGTCAACCTCATTTGAGCAATTTGTCTCTTATGTTAGAAAATGACGTTATTCAGTTGTTAGATTATGAATCTTTATTCAATAAATTTTCTAGAATAAAGGCAAGAAAAGTAAAACTTTTAATAAAAACACGCACATAATTTTATTGCTTTTTTTAAATGAATATATTTTTATTTTAGTATCAGAATATATTTAAATTTTTAATGTATTTCGCTTTATTTTTTTGTTTATAATAATAATGTCCCTAAATATAATATGCAGGCTTATATTTAAATTAAAAAAAGTTCCAATAAAAAAACTGCGACATATTTGTCTAGGGAAATCTAGGGTTTTTTTTTGTTTGTAAAAAAATTGGGGAAATAAAAAAATATTATCTGGCAACCCTGACTCTATCCCAGGCAACAGGAAAATAATGTATTATCGCGGTAATGCAAGATCATCATATGAATTATCGATTGTCAGAGCCGAACCGAGGTTTTTTGCCTCTCTGACCAAAGAAAACTTTTTTTAGTGCAAAAACTAACACCTTGATTTAAAATGTTGAAATTGACTTAAACTGCCTAGTCCAAGGCAATTTGCAGGGTCCCTGTATATTGTCTCGTGTGTAATCCAATTGTTACAATTTTTAAGGTTAAAAATTGTAATAATTGGACTTTATTCACACTTTATTGTTCGTTTAGGGGTTAAAAAATATTCAATAATTTAATTTTTAAAAATTGAAAAATAAAAATATAAAATAATGCTTTCATCGGTAGTAAATTATTTTATAGCAATTAATTATTGTTTTTACTCAAAAAAACAGAGCCTTTTAAAATACCTGCAACAACAGCCGTACAATTGGCGTCTCCGAAATGTGAACGATTTTTTGTTGTCATGGATTTTTTTCATAAAATTTATTCGTTCATTCCTGGCTTCGGCCAGTGGTGTTACATATAGAAGGGAGAATACTAAGAATAAGAACAATATCCTAAATCGTTCTATTTTTTTAATAATATTTTAACAAACAATAATATAAACAATATAACAAATAAATTAACTTTAATTTGGTTTTATACAACAATATAAATTAACAAGTAGGTAAATACACAATAAAAATAACATAACTAAATTAACATATTGCTCAAGAAAATTGGTTTTTAAGTGAAATAGCGCCACCTTGCCTGATAGGTCTTCTTAATCTTTGTTGTTCTTGCCAATGTTTTTTGATATAAAATATGCAGCTTTTACTGACATTTAAATCTGCAGCTACTTCACTTAAAGACCAATTTTCTTCTAATTTGGCTATTGCCCTGGACCTCTGAGCCTCGGTTAAGTGGGGTGGCATTTTTAATATTGCAATTGACAACTATTATCAAATTTGACAACTACCGACGACACTGATGCAAAGCCCATATTACACGATTAAATTTTGCCGTTCACATTTCGGGGACGCCAATTGTACCATTAAAATAAATTAATTTGATACAATACATTAAACAAATATTAGAAATATTCCTCAACACCAAAACAAAACGCTTAAAGTACTTTTTGCCAACGATGTTGGCATCTTTAGAAGTGTAATTAAATCTAACTCCTAATTCTACCATATTTATACTAATTGAAAGCTAAGGTTGACTGAACCGTAAACGGACATATTTTATTAAACTGTGGACCGTACACTGTGTCCGTTTACGGTTCAGTCAACCTTAATATTATAATTATAATATTCTTCCATTGGCTAGTGGACTAGAAACCGTATAACCTAATAATTATTTAATATAATAAAAACTTAATAATATTTTTGTTTTAGGGACCTAGTATTAACAATACTATGCAATAAATGTAGGGTATAGTGGTATAATAAATTTACCATTTTAAAACTTGTAAGAACTATTTGGATATGATAGAGAATAACGAATAAAAAACATATTTGAAGATGATTGGTAAGCAAAAATATTGTATTTGTTTTAATTTAATAATTTTTTTGTTTGTATGTATGTATATATATATATATATATATATATATATATATATATATACAGTGCTTGCAAATCCAAGTCCGACCGGTTTGAGAAGGACGCGTGAAAATAACAAGGATAGAACGCCAAACAGAAGGCGCTTACAATACGCACGCCTGACGCTCTGACCAATCAAATTCTGTTTGGCATTCTATCCTTATTCTTTTCACGCGGGTATTGAACAGCCGTCCTTTCCAGTGCGGTCGGACTTGGATTTGCAAGCACTGTATATATTAGGGTGTCCCAAAAAAAAAGAATTTATTTTTTTTTCTTGTCTCTTGTAAAAATATGTTAGTATATCATGCTGTAAGAGCCCTTTCAAAATATCAGCTCGATTAAAAAATTTGTAGGGGTCGCTCAATATTTAAAAAAATTTAAAAAATCGTCAAAAATTGAATTTTTGTTTTATTTTAATTATTTTTCTCGTCTCGATATTATTTTTTAGGTTGAAAATAATAAAAATTCTGTAAATTTCAAATCAATATTTTGATTTCTAAAGGTCGCTAAAAGTTCGTTGATATTTATATTCAGAGGTCGCTCGAAAATATTCAAAATACTCTACTTTGAAAGTTAAAAAAATCTTGAACGACCTTTAGAAATTAAAATATTGATTTGAAATTTTCAGAATCATTATTATTTTTAAATTAAAAAATAATATCGGAACGAGAAAACAAATTAAAACTAAAAAAAATCCAATTTTTGACCATTTTGGTAATTTTTAAAAATCTTGAGCGACCCCTAAAAATTTTTTAATCTTTTGACAGGGCTCTTAAAACATGACAAGAGACGAGAAGAAAAAAAATATTCTTTTTTTTTTGGGACACCCTAATATATATATATATATATTAAGGTGGCCCAAAAAAAAAATAATATTTTTTTTCTCGTTTCTTGCAAAAATATGTTAATTTATCATGCTGTAAGAGACCTGTCAAAATATCAGCTCGATTAAAAAACTTTTAGGGGTCGCTCAAGATTTTTTTAAATTTTCAAAATCGTCAAAAATTGAATTTTTGTTTTATTTTAATTTTTTTTCTCGTCTCGATAATATTTTTTTGGTTGAAAATAATAAAAATTCTGTAAATTTCAAATCAATTTTTGATTTCTAAAGGTCGCTAAAAGTTCGTTGATATTTATATTCAGAGGTCGCTCGAAAACATTCAAAATACTCTACTTTGAAAGTTAAAAAAATCTTGAGCGACCTTGAGAAATGAAAATATCCATTTAAAATTTTCAGAATCATTATTATTTTTAAATTAAAAAATACTATCGGAACGAGAAAAAAAATTTTAATAAAAAAAAATCCAATTTTTGACGATTTTGGAAATTTTTAAAAACCTTGAGCGACCCCTAAAATTTTTTTAATGGAGCTGATCTTTTGACAGAGCTCTTAAAACATGACAAACTAATATATTTTCACAAGAGACAAGAGAAAAAAAATTCTTCTTTTTTTTTGGGCCACCCCTATATACATATACAGGGTGTCCGGGAAAATGTGGGAAATCAGATAGAACATGAAAAAATAAGATGACACGTTCCTATAAATTTTTTTCCTACTGGCCATCCTTACGGAGACATGGGCCCCGAAAGGACTCCCCTGCAAATTGGTTTTCCTTGAATAACTTTTAAAGTACTAAATATAATTTAATAAAAATTTAATATGATGGACCCTAAGGTCCTCTTAAAATAGTGTCATTGAAACATGTTTTGCTTTTTTTGTTTACCAGGGGCGGACTAAGTTTTACTTTTTAATGCTTAAATTTTGAACACCCCGTATGACAAAGACTTAAAAAAACTAAATCTGCATAGCTTAAACCTTAAACTAAAATAAAGGTACTCTTGTTTATTGTCAATAAAATGAACCGTTTTCGAGAAAAAGAATAATAAATAAATTCATGTTTTATTTTTTAATAAAAAGGACCATAAAAAAATAATATAACGTATTGTTGCAAACCTTAAATTGAAGGACGATAATTCGATACAATTAATTAAAAACTTTATAAGAGGGTTCAACATGGGTTCCGTGAACTCTGATACATTCGCGGGTTGAGGACTGCTGTACCCGCCAGAATAACCCAGAATTGTTTCTTATCATATCATAATAAAACGTGATTATCTGTAGAAGTTCCTCTATCGGAGTGGAATA